CCCCAAAACCCCAAAACCCCAAAACCCCGTGATTAACCATTGTCTGTATAATCTGAAATAACTATATTTAAAATACTATAAAGGTAATTAATCATTTAATAAAGCAGTAATATTATTTTTTCAAGATTATTACAATCAATTGAATAAATTCTGAATTTATTTCCTTCACGCTGAATGTTAATCATTCAATATAACTCTCAAAATCATATTAAATTCAGTATAGTTCAAAAAATTTAAACAAAAACACTCTGTGGGATAAATTTAGCAATCCTAATCCATACCAAATTAGCAAACCAAACTTGAAAAAATAAATACCAAAAACTTTCCAATTAAAGCAACTTTGCTATGCTTTTTTATTTTAGACTAGTGGGAAATATAGCTTATAGCGACTGTTCTAGGTTATTATATCCTCATACATGCAATAAATAATAGATGCAGATACTATAATTATCATATATCTCATCTCAGATTGAAAAGGATTATTCAAGATGTAGTGATACTATCCTCTAATAAACTCTCTAATTCTCCAGTGATCAATTGCCATTCTGTCAACTGAAAGTACGAAGTATGCTACTTAGATTTTAAAGAGTTTCATATACCTTATACTATCATCCTTAATTACTAGAGTAGCAACAGGAAGCAAGTACACTAAGAAGAAGTGAATATCAGTCAAGAAAAATAATCCTTGTAATAATATCAATAATAGTCTTAATATTTAATTCGATCTCTGACTAACCTTTTAATCTCTGTTCAGTAAATATTTCAAAGGCTTCAAAGCTATTGAAGTTACAAGATAAAAAGCAATATCAGGGGCATACATTAAAATTGTTGCTATTGTATAAATAGTTGTGATGTCAAGAATGGTGAATTAATTTCGATCTAGCAAGTTATATTGGGTTATATTCTATGGTTTCATAAAATCAAGTACAAGTACTACTACTGGCATAACATGCACAAGGGTAAATGATTCGATAAATATGTATGTAATACCCATTAGGTAAGACAAATAAAGAGCAATCCAAATCTTATCAATTATACTCTACCTGAAGATTTGTGAGTAAAAGGGAGATATGTTAATTTTAACATCTGAATCAGAGTGCTAATTTAAGGAATAGAATTCCAATGAAATATAGCCTTTCTTTTAATTATCAATCATATTAGGATATGTCCAGAAACATTTAGATTCTTCATTTAGGATCTAAATCATTACTTTATCATCTTAGTGCTCTTTTATCTCTACTATCACTGGCTATTAGCTACTCGAACATATTTTCAAGGGCAAATTTGTACTTATCAACTATGAAATTGTCTTATCTCTATTAATATATATCTTATCAGTTAAACTCAGATCATAATTTATCCCCATGAAGTAAAATAATAGATCAATTTAATCTAAAGAGTTTTAAGAATTGTACTCTAGTATTTTCATTCCAATTTACTGATATTTCTCCTCATTCAAGGGAAAATATTTTGGATCTATTTAGTCGTTACCTGGTTTAAAATTCTATACATCATTCAAAATATTCTGATCACTTCTAAGATTCATTGTGATATACAATTCATCCATTGAGGTCAAATGCTATATTGTAGCTTTATAATAATTGAAGGGTAAGTATAACCTACTTGCTACTGTATTAAGTTATTTTTCACTTTCTTTAAAAGTTTGTCTCAATGTTACATCAAATCTGCGATCAGATAATCCATATATTTAATAGGTCAAATTCTTAGATTTGTATTCTGCAGCTAAATCTATCCTTATCTTTGACAAATTTTAAATTGGCTCAATTGCTCTTTTTTTCTCAGGATAATTTATTACTTGAGTGGTGTTTTAAGTAGTTTTAGTTTAAACAAAGTACTGATGCTTATGACTAGTTTCTTAGAACTCAAACAATTCTCTAATTAGACTATCAATGTCCTCAATTCCATCATCTGATTAATATTTGAGTGAGATCTAAACTATTCCAGGAACGAATGTATCGAGAAATCTCTTATTGTACATTGGGCTATTATGATCGATAGATGCATAGTTATTTTTAAGTTATGTCGTCACTATCTAATATTGATGTTTAAATCCTATTCTGTTTGATTCAACTGTCATTTCTTCTCTGATAAGTCCATCTCTCGTTCCACCATGAAAGTTTAGATGAACTATCCTTTCCTTCATGTAATTAAGTGCCCATTCATTCTTACTTAGTATTTCTTCAAATAGCTTTTCCACATCATTATTAAAGTATTAGGGACTCTAACCACTTAATGGTGAGCATAGGTTTATGAACATTTATATTTTCTCGAAAGGAAAATCAGATTCTTAGGAGGCAAGGAGATTCACAACTCCACCCATAGAGTGTCCTATCATATTTATATAGTCAATGCTTCCATTTTAAAACAAAAACTTTAAGCAATGACTCACAAATTCAGCTTGCTCATGGAGGATATTCTATGAGAAGGCGGATGGTAATTCTTTGAGATCAAAAGCATAAGCCATTAATCGATAATGAGTGTCATTTTGATTTTCATTCAAGAAGATTGTATGATTATGCAAACTATTGAATATGTTTGTAATCTAATAATAATCAGCATTATTACCAACGGTGATACTAAATGGCAATAGTACCGTATTTGATCTTTACTTGATGTCTTCTGGAGTTTTAATGTCATAGTCTAGTACTCTAAAAAATTTCATCTTATGTGGATGAGTGTTTAAGAAACTGTAATTAGATACTTTAGGAAAATAGACCTCTTCAACATATTATAGCTGTTCCACTAATGAAACATCATACTAATCTGGGTTAGCAAAATAGAGAGTTGAACTTGTGAATATAACATAAATACCCACTATTGCCAACCATCCATACATTAACAATTTCATTTTTACAATTGCTTCCTATAAATATTATTTTTGTATATTTCTAAACTTATAAATCCCTGTTAATTTCATAATTTTTACCTTAAGGGGTTTTGGGGTTTTGGGGTT